ATATTGTAGTTGATATTTTCTCTGAGGACTTTCTGACCTCCAAGGTGACATTGCTGAGACCATTACTGGTGGATTCATCACAAGACTCATATTCTAAGGAGGAACTGGGACTATCTATTGCATGAATGTCCATGCCACCTTTAATTTTGGCTTTAACAAGGCTGTTTCTAGCAGGAGAAACTTTTGGAGGACCACACTTCTGGACAGCCCCTTTTTCACTGTCTGTGCTTTAGAAGACCTGGGATTCTTTGTCTGTTTTCTATATACATATTTCTTATTTTTATTTGGTGGTTTTCTTCTTTCTTCTTCTTTCTCATCTATCACATCACATGTGGTTTTGTTCCCCCCCCTTTTTTCCTTCACACTCTGATCTGTGATGGCTTTTGGTTCTAGATTCAAGGTGTTCTTGTTATTCTCTTGCATCTTCCAGTGCTTCTTTGAATGTCTATAATCAGTTTCTTCATCCTCTTCTAACTTAAATGACCACTTTTTTGCTTTTCTGTGTAAGAAATGAGTACCATCACCATTATTGACTATTACAGGATTCTCAGTGACTTCTCTCTCTTCTAACTTTATTCTGAGGCGATGATTGTCTCATACAAGACATTCTCTCTTCCCCTGGGACAAGAGGTCCCCTTCCAAGTAAGGGCCAAAGGGAACTCCAGAACTGAAACTGAAGCACTGGCAGATGAGGCTAATGAGATCCATAACTACTTGGCATTTCTTCAAGTGAAGCCAGAAGTCCATGCAGTGTGGGGTGGCTGGTGGCAGATAATCAAATTGAAGCCCTAGTCTAACAATCTCAGAAGCTGCCATCCTGCTCAATCTGATTTTTGGAGTAAATTTTTGATAGATATGTATTTATTGCCATTTTATTGTTCATATTTTTTTATCATTTTTCTTCTCTCTTAAAGAACACCCTTTAGTATTTCATGTAATACTGATTTGATGGTAATGAACTCCTTTAGCTTTTGGTAAGTTCTTTATCTGTACTTAGATTCTAAATTATAGTTCTCCTGGGTAGATTAATCTTGGTTGTAGGTCCTTTTTATCTTTTGGTGTGTTTTTGCTAACTTAAGAGGTACTTTTAGCATTTTGGTTGTTCTTACATTTCACTTCTTGGAGGAAGGTTCGATTTTTGTTCCCATTAGTATTTCTTTGTACCACTTGTAGCTCCTCCAATGAGAATTATCTGTTTTCAGGCTTTGTTTGTTTGTTTTTTGTTTGGTTTGTCTTGGTTTGAAAGTTTATTTTTTTCTTTGTTTTTTTTTGTGTGTCTATATTAGTGTGTGTGTCTGTTTACAAGTTAGATATTCCAGTTGACTTTCTTACCACATTTCATAAACTCTTTCAACAATGTAAATATTAAACATTTTGCTGCAAAAAAGTAAGGAAAGATATCTAGGGATAATTTTCTCCTCTATTCTAACAGAGTAAGCAAAGTTTTCTATCCCTTGCTCATCTTCTCATTCTGGGGTCCTTGTTATAAAGATATTACTACATTTCATGATGTCCTGCAGTTCCTTTAACCCCTCTTCATTCTTTATGAGTCTTGATTAGTTTTGTTGCCCCTTCTGGGTGTTTTTTTTCTACCTTGTTCTCCAGATCTCTGATACAGTCCTCTGCTTCATATAACCTGCTTTTAATTCCTTCCAATGTTTTCTTTATTTCATAAATTGTATTCTTTATTTCCTCCTGTCTCTTCTTGACAGTTTTTATGTCCTTTTTTATGCTCGTGAAGTTCACAGTAAGTTTCTTATCACTTCCCTGGAATTCTTTGTAGTTCTCATAAGCTTTGTGAACATCTTTTTAACTATTATTTTTATCTCAATGTCTTATAGCTTTACTTGCTTTAATTTTATTTAACTCTCTTTCTGTGGATTCTCTTTCTTTTTGATTGGGGTCTGTTTTTCCTCCCAAATTTTGGTGATTCTTCTTGTTTGTTTCTATGTATTAAATGGATCTGCTTTTACTCCCTATCTTCTGTGAATTTTTGTGGTAAGAGACTTGTGGGACTCAATGGGGCAGTCCTCTTGATATCCTTAGCTTGATGCTCTTGGGATGCCCTTTATGCTGTTTATGTGAGCTCTCTGGTCATAATTGGGTTTTGGTTGTTGGGTGTTTTTGGTGGGCCCTTCTCTTTGGCTAGGTAAACTGAAACTCATTCTGTGCACCACAATTTGTATACTGCTGTGCAAGTGCTGCCAGAACAAACAGCCCAGGGAACACACCCACACCCACAATTATAACTCCAGTCCACAATCACACTATCAATAGCAAATACCCAATATTAATAACAGCGTAAGGAGATGAAGACTATTATAAAAAAGGAAAATGAATATGAGATAACTAACTGAAAGAAAAGTGATTTTGCAAGGATAAAGGGAGAAATAATAATAACAGTAGGGAATACAGACAAGGTAAATAGAGAAAGAATAAAATTTACATCAGAAATTTAAAAAGGAGGAGGGAAGATAGAATGGAGTAAGAGAAAGGAAGGGTATGATATTAGGATTAAACCAATAAGAACTTGTGTGTGAGTGTGTGTGTGTATATATACATATGTGTATATAGGTATATATACACACACATATATATGTATATATGTAGAGAGAAGGAAAATACATACATATATATGTGTGTATATATAGAGAGAGAGAGACAAAGAAAAAAACAGCAACAAATATCATCTTTATTGGAGAAAAATATCCACCATGACAATATCAACAACAAATGAGCTAAGATTAATATTAGTGGGATGGGAATAGAAGGGAAAAAGAAAAGAAGAAAAGCTTAAGAGATGTGTAGAGGAAAGAGATGTGATTTGGAGAAGACAGAGGAAAAGGAATACTAAGAGTGAGGAATAAAGACCAGGCTAAGACTGAGAAAATTTAAAATTTAAAATTTAAATGAAAGAAAAGAAAGAGAAAGGGAAGGATGAAGGCAAAATGTAGTAGGAGAGAAAAACTATAAAATTTGAGATTTGGAATATAAAATAATGACTGTTTATATCTAATTTGAAGAAATGCAACTACAACCACCTTATCCACAACCGATGTGCAAAGATTGATTAAGATGGAGAGAAAATAAAGGTACTTTAAGAATGGTAAAAGGAATTTGAGATAACTAATGACAAACAAAATTTGTTTTGAGTGGCTGGAGGAGGGGGAGAAATAGTAATGGTATATAAAAACAAGTTGTAGCAAAAGAGAAAATAGAATTTAAAACAAAAATAAGAGGAGGAAGGAAGAAGGTAAAATTAAATAGGAGAAAGGCAAAGCAAAATATGGGATTTAAAATAAACTATAATATAAAACCTGTTGACATATTTGGCACAATCTTGAAAGATAAGAAATGAATGTTAAAAATCTATGCAAAAGAGAAAATAGTGACAATCATAAAAAAGACTGAGAGGATTAGGGCCTGAGGGATTGTGTAACTTGTAGTTTTTGGTGAAGGGGACTTTAAGAGCTTTTTCTTTTTCCCCCTGTGGAAATGTACCCAGCAGGAGACTACTGAGCCTGACCTTGCTGATCTGCAGAGCCTGTCACTCGACAAGTGGGGGGTTGGTATTGCTTATATGAAAGGATCTGGCTGGCTACAGCAAATCTCAGGCATGCAGCTCCTGCCTTCCAGTCTCAGCTGCTCTCTTGTAGGAGTTTCCACCCAAATTCTCCACTCTGAACAGTCCCCTACTTGAGAGCCATGCTGGGTTAGATCCTACAGTTCCTTCAGTGTGACAATCTCTCTGAATTTTTGGTTAGCACAACCACTGCTTCCACTTGCATATGGGTATGATCCCCAGCTCCCTGCCCAGTCTCGGGTGTCACCTCAGCTCATCTTTTAAAACAGTTTTTGTGTGCCCCCCACACTGCAGCACCAGTCTCTGGGGGCCTGTTCTACATACACTTGCCCTACCCCAAAATCACAGGGTGTCTCCCAGTCAGGGCTGGCCACAGCTTTTCAGAGCCTCCTACAGTTTTAGATAAGTTTTCCTCTGGATCTTTCCCAGATGTCATTGGAAAGAACCCCACAGCTATACTATAACACAGGGCAGTAGTGATGGTGGAGTGCTGAACTTGCTCTCTCCAGTGTTCTTAAACCTTGGGTGGGCCTGCTCTTGCTGTGTTATTTCTGAGACCCATACCTCTCAGGCCTTCTTTCTCAGTCCCAGTAGCTTGTGGCTCGGGAACTGATCCACAGCCACAGGTGTCCTGACTCTGTGCAGCCAGAAATGATGGGCTGGGCAGATGTGGCAGCTCTACCTGGAGAGCCTGGCCCCTGCTCCCAGGCACCCTGAAGGTGGGTGGGTTCCTGCTCACTGCTGCACATTTCCTGCTCTCTTATTCACATACTCACTCACTCACAGACACTCTCACTCACTCTCTGCTGGACTTTTGATTCAACTGCTCTGGGTTTTGGCTGTGAAGCTAGTTCAGGTCTGGGAGCAAGTGAATGGTGATTCCAGCTGCTCTGCCACCACCTTTCAATATCCACAACATTTTTCTGCTTGCATGCTTTTATCTCCACAACCCCTGTCAGCCATATGAGTTTCCTGTCAAGTAAAAATAAGTGAGTAGAACTATTTTAGTTTATAGACTTATTACAGTAATATAGAAACAATTTGATATCTTAATTGCAACATTTTACTTTCCATGGTCTTATATTTTAGAATTAGCCAGATTTTATTTAATGCAGGGCATAGCTTTTTTTAAATGAATCATTATCATTTATGTTGGTGTTTTAGAAGCCACCATTCTTGAAACTTATCATACGTAAGAAAACAAAGAGAGGTCAAATCACCCAGAAACATTTATTTTGCTAATTGTTTTGGCTCTCTTGTGGGAATTTTAAGCATTTTTCCCTGTCATTCAAGACAATTTTTACAGATTTGAAGCACCTGATATGTGCTTCAAACCAGCTACCTGATTTGAAGCACCAGCCCCCAATACGCCAACAAGCAAAAGTTAACTCTTGTCTTTCCATTTTCTGATGCAAAGGTATCAAAATATTCAACGAACCATTGCAACAGAGAGGCTCGAAGAAGATTCTAGTAGCCAAGGTTGCGAGCAAGTTCCAACAGGAAGTGGCGGAGGAGGTGGTGAGAGTGACTCAGAGACTGAATCTTCTCAGTTGAGCTTAGGTATGGGGAGAGGGATCCCCAGACTTCTGGGATGGCTTTTAGTGGCTGTGTGACAGAGTGTGTGAACCCTTTGCCAACCTCGTAGTATGGAGCTGTGACCTTGTGGAAAGAGAACAGTGGAATGGGTGGAGATCAAGAAAAAGAAGAAAGAGGCAAGGTGTCAACAAAATAAAGCAGACAGAAATTTAACACTAGAAAATAAAGGAGAAAGGGATTCACATAAAGAGAACACTAGCACCATGGCTTGGGGTCTGGAGAAAAGAGGCTGATAAAGTCTGGAAGCTCAGAGCTGGGTTGGCTCTGATACTTGTGTATCAAGGCAATTTTTTCAGTGGCTTCATCACTTCTAGTTAGGTTAATTTATTTGTTGTCTACGGATTTTTTACTTATAAATAACACATGCAATAAAAATTCATGTTCTACTTCATAAAAGGCATATAACAACATTATTAATAGGAATAATTAGTTGTTTGCTTTTTAAATAAAATATAGCTCCTCTTGAGGGAGAAACATGGGAACAAAGACATTTTCCAGCAGGCTATGGTTATGCATACCACCCAACATCCTTTTTACCAAATATTGTAGGCATTCACCAGGTGTCTTGCATAGGAAAATGGCTTTCACTACTTATACCTATAATGACATAAAAGCATTACAATGACATATTAACAATCCACATTTTTAAGTTGAGTTAAGCGAGAAAAATATATTGTAAAAAGAAGGCTCAGAAAATAGTCTAGCAAACAAGTATGTACTCCTAGTCCTTCCAGGTCTCAGCTCCTTATTATAATGCAGAACAGTGAGCATTTTCACATGCATGTACACAGTTCTACCAACAATTTTAATTAGTTTTACTTAATGTATTTTACCAGATATACTAACTAAACTGACTTATGTAAGATTTTCTGTTATTAATGTCTTTGTTTAACCTCTTGAGAGAGATGTGGTAAAGTAGTTGAATAATTAAAAAACATAAGAATTAAAGGAGCAGAAGATTTATTTCTGTTTACTATCAGATATGTTTCCATTTGCTATGTAACAAACCATCCCAAAGCTTAGTATCTTAAATTCACAACCATACATTTATCCTGCAGGTGGGTAATTTGAATAGAGCTCATCTAGGTGTTTCCTGAGATACCACTGGGCTCACCCATGTATCCTTGGTCAGTTGTTGAATCAACAATGGTCTGTCTGCCCCGAGAGGGCCTCAGATGGAGCAGTTTGTCCCTGTTCCCCATGGCTTCTCAACTTGCACCAGGCTAGCCCAAGTTTGTTTTCATGGTGGTGGCAGAACTCTAAGTAAGAGTGGAGACACACAGTCTTCCCTGAAACCCTGGCTCCAAACCTCTGCCAAATTCTGTTGGTTAAAACAAGACACATAGCCAGCTCAGTCAACAAGGGGAGAAACTTCAAAGTGTCATGCAGATGGGTGTGCATGCAGGAAGGGGAAAAATTGTGGCACTTTTTGCAAACAATCTACGTTATCTATGATTAGCAATATGTAAAAAAATAAGAAAAACTAATTGGCATAAAAAGGACAAAATATATAAAAACTCAAGTTTAACTGAAATTATACAGAAACACTCCTAGGAAATAATGGTTAAGTGACATACACAAAGTGACATGACTCCTGGTCAGATCACTGTGGTATCTGGCATTATTACTGTGACACCTGACTCCTGGTCAGATTACTATTAAAACCAACAGTCCACTCAGCTGTGTAAATGAAGGCATGTGTGCTGCTGGTATGCAGAGAGAAGTACTGTGTTTGAAATGACTTTCTTCCAATGTACTCTGTTGCTTTGCTTCACTTTTTCCAGATCTGAGGAGAGAAGGGTCACTTTCTCCAGTGAACTCACAAAAAATCACCTTGCTGCTGCAGTCCCCAGCGGTCAAGTTTATCACCAATCCTGAATTCTTCACTGTACTGCATGCTAATTATGTGAGTGCTCCAAAATTGCAGAGTGAGTCTGGCCTGGCCTCCATCAAGACCAAAAAACACAAATTTGCCAATTTGTTTGTTACATAAAAAAGTAGCATTTTAGCCCAGGCCAGAAAAAAAATAGCTCAGTGCACCCTTTTTGTTCTATAAGTCTCCCCAAAAGAAGAAGAGCTAGATTTGGAAATACTCTATACTCTGCAGGTTTTTGTTAGGCTGAAATGTTTTAATGTCACTGAAAGTACTTTGGAAAGAAATATGTGGGTTTTTTGGTCAAAATTTTAAAGGAATAAGATTATGAAGTTGACGGATTCCTTTGTAGCTTAAATCATTTTATAAACTCACTTTTGTTAATAATTTTTAAATAGATTTCTCCTAGATAAATAAATAGCTTTCCTTTTAGTTTTTCAAATATCATAATTAAGTTAAATTTGATATGATATTTAGATATGTCATTTTAAATTCTTTTTTGTCTTTTCAAGAAAACAATGACATGATATCACTGTATTTATTAATTCTTTCATTTGAAAAGCATTTTCTATACTTCAGGCACAGAACTAGGTGCTGGAGTCACAAGGCAAATTAAGGTGACACCTTAAAGTGAAAGAGGAAGTAAGAACTTCCTCTTTTTTAGCAATAGACATGTCAAAAAGACCAGTCTAACCTTACAGGGCATAGCCTGACCTCACTGAGGAATCAAATGTTCTGCAAACACAGAAGATGAAACATCAGGGAGCATTTCTGAAGAGACAACTACTGAAGTGAGTCTTGAAGGTTAAAAGTGGTTGGAGAAAAGGTTCCAGGCAGAGAGAGAAAAGAAGCAACTGTGAAGGGGCTTGGTGTTTAGTCTGATGTGGCTGGAGTGTGGTGACAGGCAGAAGTGGAAAGAGGGGCTGGAGAAAAAGTAGGGAAATGACATGTAAGACATGAAAAGGAGCCTGGATTTACTTTAATAGTCAACAGTGATCAACAGCAGTCTTAGACCTTGGAATTATATAATTGGGGATATTTGATGAAGTTTTTTTCTGGCAGAAGAGTGTGAGAAAGACTGAAGGGCTAAGACTAAAGGCTAATTTAATTGCTCAAGTGAGAGATGAAGGTTTGCTAATTAACTGGCTGGGCTAATGGAAAGGAATGACTCATTTCAGGAGATATTTCTATGTGGAATCAATAACATTGCTTGAAATCACTGTGTTTTGGGGGAAGAGGGGGAAGAGGTTAGGTCTTCAGAAATTCTGAGTCTATTTTGCTTTTGAGCACCTGAGTTAAGTGATGACTCAATTAGACAGATGCAGAGTTTAATGAGGTGACAAAGGTGGTGGCAAAGAAGGAGGAGGAGTTCAGTTTTTAGTAGGTTATATTTGAGAAGCTATTGGGACATTCAGTGGTTAGACCCAAAGCAGCTGCCCTGTGGGGCAGGGTTAAATTCTGAAGGGATACAAGGGTGCCAGATATTGATGCTCTCAGTACTGGGCACCAGGGGGCCTTGAGCCAGCAGGAGCCACTGTGCCAGTTTGCTCCAGCTGCAAGGAATCTTCTCTTTTATCACATGCACACATCATCCCCATTTGCCATAAAATTGTCATCTACACAATTAAAAATTCCTGAAACTTTTGTTTTTCTCATTCCCCAACCCTGCTACACACAAACAGATTTCTACAGATGAATCAAAGGAGTCACAGACCTCTGGAGTCCTGCCTTAAATTCCAGAACCCTAAATTAATACTTTCTGTTGTAGACAGATGAAAGGTAGACCTGTGCAGTTAAGGAAGGATCCATGAAGAAGAGATGCTCAAAGATGTAGAGTGAGACTCAAGAGAGCCAAGCTGCTGAGGGAGAAGGAAATTGGAGAAGGGAAGGGAGGCTTTGAGATGCATCAGGGGGTCAACTGTGTCCAAGGCTATAGATCATCAGGTAGATAGGGATCACAAATAGGTTCATGTTTGTTTACGAGTGCTCATTAATTTTTGAGCAAGATTGCTGCTTCTGAGGCTCACAATAAATTGCTGTGTAGAAATCAGATTGCATTATGTTAAGGTTCTCAAAATGTACTTGGTCTGTGTTTTTCCTAATCCTTCACTCCCTACCCCAAACAACTCTGACCCCATCTCAGAATGCTTACCGAGTCTTCACCAGTAGCACCTGCTTAAAGCACATGATTCTGAAAATCCGGCGGGATGCTCGCAATTTTGAACGTTACCAGCACAACCGGGACCTGGTGAATTTCATCAACATGTTTGCAGACACAAGGCTGGAATTGCCTCGGGGCTGGGAAGTCAAAACAGACCAGCAGGGAAAGGTGAGTGTGACTGCTCTGTGGGACTTTCATCAAAGGGGTTCTTTCCTTGAAGAAGACAATGAGAATGTAGGGAAAGAGGTTGATGAGGAGAGGAGAGCCTATGTGAGATGTGCTGTTAGCCCCCAGGAGGAATGAAGAAAAAACTATCCACAGTAGGGTTTATGTCCTGTGTGTTGTAGTATATTTAACAGCAGCCCTAGCCTCTGCCCATTGAGACCAATAGTACCTCCACCAAGTTTTGACCTTACTATATGGCCCCTGAGGGGGCAAAAATCTCCTCAATTTAGGAACTACTGCCTACTTGTTTTTAAATTTAGGTTTGGAACTTGAAACCAGTTTCTGTTCTATTATTTTGCCTCCTTAGACAGGTAACTCTCAAAGAATGAAATTATTTGTTAAATGGGAATGACATTAGAACACTCATTGTGATTTCCCTAATAAGTCTTCAGTTCTCATTAAAACAGCGTATTAAACAGTGGTGGGGCATATTGATTCTGTGCCATGTTAACTGTCTTGCATTTTGCCTTTGTGTTACTTTAACCAAAACTAATTCTTTCCAGCAATGCTTTAAAAGTTTGAGTTTGCTAAAGTAAGAATGTTTTTCTTAATTATTATCACTCAACTCAATATATTTATAGGACAGACCAAAAGTTTGCTGAAGTATTATTTTTGTGAACTTTGGTAGAGAGAACCCCTGTATTTTTTAAGGTTAGAGAAAACAGGAATTTCATCAGCAGATATGTCTGTAAATAAGAAACTGAATTATAGTTTCTTTCCTTTGTGATTTTGAATCTGCAAAGCCACAATGCCCCAGAGTGAGTTTATTTGTGTCATTGTCTCCTAGAAGCTACAAATCTCTATCTCAAACCATTTAGCATTCCTCAGCAAGTGGTCTATCTGGATTGAGTAAGAAAAGACTGTGTTCACTAATACAAGTCCATTAGTATAAGGGAGCTCTATGACCAACCCCTCCATAGTCGGGGATTAAATGGGGGTGGGAGGGTTCCTTGTGTAGTAGAAAAGCCACCATAGCCAATATCTGCTCCCCAGAATCTTCTCATTTACTGAATGTGGCCTCCACTAAGAAAATGATAGTGATTTATACTGTGAGGACTTGCTGGTATACATTATGATGAGAACTAAAGAGGGTAAGTGCTGGGGTATACCTGCCTCATTTTGTGGTCTGTGGTATGGCCATGTTTGCATTTATTATTTAACCAAAATGCCAAGAGACACCATTATGGATCGATGAACAGAACGGTATTGTTTGTTATACAAAGAGCACGCACTGATGCAAACCATTTTTTTATCCTTGGATTTTCATGACCAAAGGGCTCACACCATTATACAAACAGCAGAGGGTCCAGTGGAATGCAGAGAGACCCCAAATGCAATTGTCCCCTGTCCTCCATGACATGGTACACACACTGCCTCCTTGCCATTGCTATAACAGAAAGCACAGCAGCTGAGACATGTACCTAGAGATTTATTAATTTTGAAATGCATACTAAGGAATTTCTGGAAAGACATTTTTACTTTAATTCCATTTAGTGAGATGTATCATATACAAGAAAGATTTTGAAATAAGAAGACATGAGTTTTACTTACAGTTATGATGCAAATTAGACATGTGACTATAAACAGACACGCCAAAAAGGGCTCTCTGGTTCCTTATTAATTGAATATACACAGACTCATAGTTGGCAGGCAAAATTGCTGTATGTAAATTAATGTCAGTTTTGAAATGTATTATCACACCCACTTAGTAGAGATGAACAATGAAAGGTGGAAGATAAAAATAGGGCAGGAGGACATATTTGTTGGGTCTGGTTCATCCCATGCTAAGTGTGTGCCATATGAAACTAGGCAAGCCACTTCATCAATCTAAATATCATTTTTTTAACTTACATAATCATAGTACTTTTAAATTTTCAAAGAAATCTTCTGGTAACTATTTTTGTGTTTTTTTATATAATTAATTTTATTTAGTTATTTTTCAAGTACAGTTTTTTGTCCATTTTTCCCATCCCATCCTCCCCTGCCCCTTGCTCCCCACCTCCCTCCCATTTCCACCCCCCTTAGTTCTCGTCCCTGTGTCCTGCCTATTTCTTCTTCCAAATCCCTCTCCCTTTTTCCCCTTAACTTCCCTTCCTTCTCTCCTCTAGTCACTATCCCCTGGTTCTCTATTTCAGTGTATTTGTGTGTTTTTTTTCTGCTTGCTTGTTTGTTTTGTTGTTTAGCTTCCTGTTAAAGGTGAGATGATATGGTATTTGTCTTTCAGCACCTGGCCTATTTCACTCAGCATAATGCTTTCCACTTCCATCCATGTTGTTGCAAAAGGTAGTAGCTCCTTCTTTCTCTCTGCAGCATAGAATTCCATTGTGTATATGTACCACTATTTTTTGCTCCATTCATTTACTGATGGGCACCTAGGTTGCTTCCAAATATTGGCTATTGTAAACTGTGCTGCTATGAACATTGTGGTGCATAGGTTCTTTGATATTGATGTTCTGGGATTCTGAGGATATAATCCCAGCAGTGGAATTGCTCGGTCAAAGGCAGGTCGATTTTTATTTTTCTGAGAAAATTCCATACTGTTTTCCATAATGGTTGTACCAGTCTGCAATCCCACCAATAGTGAACTAAGGAACCCTTTTCCCCACAACCTCTCCAACATTTATTGTTTGTTGCTTTGTTTATCACAGCCATCCTGACTGGTGGAAAGTGGTATCTCATTGTGGTTTTAATTTGCATCTCTCTGATAGCTAACGATATTGAGCATCTCTTCATGTGTCTCTGAATGTTCTGTATGTCCTCCTTGGAGAAGTGTTTATTCAAGTCCTTTTCCCATTTTTTAATTGGGTTGGGTGTCTTCTTAGAGTGGAGTCGTGTAAGTTCTTTGTATGTTTTGGAGATTAAACCTTTGCCTGAGGTATCATTGGCAAATATGTTTTCCCATACAGTTGGTTGTCTTGCTAATTTAATACTGTTTTCTTTAGCCATGCAGAAGCTTTTTATTTTGATGAGATCCCATTTGTTTATTCTTTCCTTTACATTCCTTACTCTAGGGGACATATCAGTAAAGAAGTTGCTGCGTGAAATATCTGAGATTATCTTGCCAATGTTCTCCTCTAGGACTTTAATGGTGTCACGACTTACATTTAAGTCTTTTATCTACCTTGAATTTATTTTGGTGTATGGTGTAAGTCTGTGCTCAGGTTTCATTTTTTTGCACATAGCTGTCCAGTTCTCCCAACACCATTTGTTGAAGAGGCTATCTTTACTCCATTTTATGTTACTGCCCCCTTTGTCGAATATTAATTGACTGTAGAGAGTTGGGTTGATTTCTGGGCTCTCTGTTCTCTTCCATTGGTCTATGTGCCTGTTTTTATGCCAGTACCAGGCTGTTTTGATTACAGTGGCCTTGTAATACAGTTTGATATCAGGTATTATGATCCCTCCTACTTTGTTCTTCTTTCTCAAAAGAGCAGCTGCTATTCGAGCTCATTTATGGTTCCATATAAACTTTCGAAGTGTTTGTTCTATGTCTGTGAAATATGCCATTGGTACTTTAATAGGTATTGCATTGATTCTGTATATTGCATTGGGGAGTATGGACATTTTGATGATGTTAATTCTTCCAATCCATGAACAAGGTATATGTTTCCAGTTGTTTGTGTCTTCCTTGATTTTATTCTTCAGGGCTGTGTAGTTTTCTGCATACAGGTTTTTTACCTCCTTAGTTAGGTTTATTCCCAGATATTTTATTTTTCTTTTTGCTATATCAAATGGGATTTTTTCTTGATTTCTGCTTCTGCTGATTCACTGTTGGTATACAAAAATGCCTTTGATTTCTGGATATTGACTTTGTAACCAGCTGTTTTGCCAAACTCATTAATTAGTTTGAGCAGTTTTTTGGGTAGAGTCTATAGGATTTTCCATGTACACTATCATGTCATCTGCAAACAGTGACAGTTTTGCTTCCTCCTTTCCTATTTGGATGCCTTTTATTTCCTTTTCTTGCCTGATCGCTGTGGCTAAAACTTCCAATAATATATTGAATAGAAGTGGTGAAAGTGGACAACCTTGTCTTGTTCCTGATCTTAGTGGAAAAGCTTTTAGTTTTTCCCATTGAGTATGATATTGGCTTTAGGTATCTCATATATGGCCTTTATTATTTTGAGAAATGCTCCCTGTATTCCCACTTTGCTGAGTGTTTTTATCATAAATGGGTGTTGTACCTTATCGAAAGCTTTTTCCGCATCTATTGATATCATCATGTGATTTTTGTCTTTGCTTTTGTTTATGTGATGTATTACATTTACTGATTTGCGAATATTGAACCATCCTTGCATCCCTGGGATGAATCCCACTTGATCATGGTGTATGATCTTTTTGATATATTGTTGGATGCGATTTGCCAATATTTTGTTGAGGGTTTTAGCATCTATGTTCATCAGCGATATTGGCCTGAAGTTTTCTTTCTTTGTTGTGTCTCTATCTGGTTTTGGAATTAAGATGATGCTGGTTTCATAAAAAGAATTTGGGAGTTTTCCATCCTTCTGGATTTTTTGAAATAGTCTGTGGAGAATAGGGGTAAGCTCTTCCTTAAATGCTTTGTAGAATTCTCCTGTGAAACCATCTGGGCCGGGGCTTTTGTGTGATGGGAGTTCTTTGATTACTGCTTCAATTTCTTTTGCTGTTATTGGTGTATTTAGATATTCTGCTTCTTTTTCACTGAGTTTTGGAAGATTGTATTTTTCTAGAAATGTATCCATTTCCCCTAGGTTTTCAAATTTCTTGGCATACAGTTCTTCATAGTAATTTCTTACAATCCCTTCTATTTCTGTGGTATCAGTTGTAATCTCTCCCTTTTCATTTCTGATTGTGTTTATTTGTGTCCTCTCGCTTCTTTTCTTGATGAGCCTACTTAAAGGCTTGTCTATTTTGTTTATCTTCTCAAAGAACCAACTCCTGGATTCATTGATCCTTAAAATTGT